TGATAGATCCATAATTTTTAAGTTGTAGATTCATAACATTTACTGTATATTCATAATTTCTATACTGTAGATTCATAATTTCTGTACTACGAAGACGAAATAATGCGATTGCGAAGAGAGAAACGTCGTTAACAACAAATGAAAAAACAAAATTATGAATCTACAACATAGAAATTATGGACTATTATGTATTCAGTATGCGTATGATGAACACATTTCCACAGCATAATTTGCGATTTTATAGGTAGTGGAGAAACTGTTATTGTTTGCACCTTAGGTGTGTGCAATATTGGCTTGGGTTCTTTGGGCTAAACGCTAGTGATGGGTCTAAGAATTCCAGGACAGAATCCATTCTATTGGGCCGTAATGTTATTTAGCCCACAGTCCATGTATGAAATTTTAAACTTCACTACAATAATCGATAAATTATACAAGTTCACATTGTAATTGCTGATAAATATTTATTTTTAATATATGTAAAATTTATTTTTAAATAATACACAATAAATGAACATACAATATATTAAGAATAACATATAATAATAATAATAATAATTATTATTAAATTATCATCGTTGATAAATGCGTAGTAAAAACTGTAAAATAGCACTAGAATACTAGATAACAACAATCATAACATGCACTTGTGCACATAGGAAGAAAGTGAAGAAACGCGAAAACTCACTCCAGTCCAAAGAGTAATTATAACCTTCCGAGAATCGGTTTCAAAAAAATAAAAAATAAAAAAATTCCGAGAATCAAAGGGTAAAATTGTCCAATAGAACCGACTGCTTATCGGATTATCCAATTTATCCTGAAGGCGCAAAGATTTAACGATCACGGCCCCTGTAGTCCTGACGTTCCTTTGAATCCTTTCATTCTCACTGCTTCGCGAGAGAGAGAGAGAGAGTTGAGAGGTCGAAGCGCCGGCGAAGATGTCGCACTTTGGAAGATCTGGTCCTCCAGACATTAGAGACACCTACTCTCTTCTAGTTCTCAACATCACTTTTCGTATTTGCCTCGTCCTTTTCTCCCAAACCCTAGCTCTCTCCTTTCTCGCTTGTTATTCCGATGGGAAACCAATTACTTCTTAATGCTTTTGGTTTGTTTTCTTCAGGTACCACCGCTGATGACTTGTATCCTCTCTTCGATAAGTATGGAAAAGTTGTTGATGTCTTCATCCCGAGAGATCGAAGGTATATACCTGTTTGCGTGTTACATATGGCTTTTGATTTTTTTTATTTTATGTGGATAAAATTCTATTCCTTGTTTCGGTATATTCACTTGAATTTGGAAGGGATTTCTGTAAATTTGCAAGTTATTTTATGTGCCAGGCTTGTATGTAACTCGCGTATGTTTCGACTTTTTATAGCATATTGAATGAATCCAATACCTGGGATTGAGAAATGCAAAGGCATCAAAATGTCTAGCTGGCATATAATCCTTGCTATGCACTATTCATGTTGATGATAAATTGAAAATCTTTATTGATGCCTATGTATTATTAATATATACTACAAAATATATTAATTTGTCTGCATTCGTATGTTAATCTAGTTTCTATGGACATATTATCGAATAAGTGGTATGTGTGAATTCACATATACTTGTCCTTAATAAGTTGAGCCTATTCATCATTTCATCAGGTACTCATAATGATAAAACCAGCTAGACCTAGTCATTTAATATGGAAAAAAATGTGTACATAGTGCGTCTAGAGGAGCAGGTTTATTGGTGCAATTTCTTTCTATATATACTGAAATATTTGATATTGCAGGACTGGAGACTCTAGGGGATTTGCATTTGTTAGGTACAAGTATCAGGATGAGGCTCAGAAGGCAGTTGAGAAGCTTGATGGTAACTATGAATACTTAAATTTTCAGATATTAGCAAAACTTACATCTTGATGTCATTTTGCAATTTATAGCTGTTCCTGGTTTATTATAATTGTTCTGTTTCTTGTTCTGATTAACTTCAGTGGTCTTTATATAGGAAAACTTGTTGACGGAAGAGAAATAATGGTACAATTTGCAAAATATGGACCAAATGCTGAAAAAATGTAAAGCTTTACTAATTCATTTCCCGTTAGTTTTTGCTGCTGCCTCAACTTTTTGTCTTTTTGAGCCATTTACATTTTGCATTGTGTCAGTGAGTGTCACTTAAAAGTCTTATTAAATATTAATTCAGTCTTCTTATTCCAGTCAAAAGGGAAGAATAATTGAGTCTGTGACCAAGACAAGGGGAAGGTCAAGGAGCCACAGTCCTAGATCAAGGTAATCATGTTCCAAAGAATGTTGATGTTGAGGATAATGTACTTTTTTGTAGCCATTGGGAAAATTGAATCTGGACTTAAGAATGTTGATGATATGGCGTACATTATTTCTTTCTTTAGATACTAGAGGAATCAATCTCAAGACCTCTTATAAAGAGTCTCACCCACTCTTGTCAAAAGGGAGGGCTTCAGTGCTTAAGCAATGAAGCAAATGTGAGTGACCCTGCATTTGTGCATTCCATTGCTTCAATGATGTAATGGAAAAGATACAAGTCCAGCAAAGCAACGAAAAGCAAACGCCTCAGCAATGGAGGCGCAAATGAAAGAAAAACTGCACTTTTATACATGGACCAAGTCAACATAGTCCTTTTTGTACATAGTTTCTTTCTTCAGATACTAGGGGAATCAATCTTGAGACCTCTTATAAAGAGTCTCACACACACTTGTCGAAAGTGAGCACTTTGTTGCTTAATCAATGAAGTGAACGCGAGTGACCCTGCATTGCGTTGCTTCAGTGAAGCTATGAAAAACATATAAGGAAAGCAAAGTGAGGAAAAGAAATCCCAATCAGATTGAAGTGCTCGAGGCACAAATAAAATAAAAACTGCACTTTTATACATAGACCAAGTCAACGTAGTCTTCGAAGTGAGAATCAGTCCTAAGAATGCCAACCCAGCCTCCATAACTTCCTCAAATCTCTATTTAGTGCTTGGCTTCATAGCTTCGTGCAATCTATTGGCTACTCTATAGCTTACGATGAGAATCAATCATTCTCTAAGAGGAATGTTACTTCACCTAAGAGAATTGACTCCATAACTTTTGGTGACTCCAATATCTTTTCCTTTATTCGCCCAGAAGAAGCATGGTGATTGTTGTGCTTTTCTTTCTCTTTCATCATTTTTTGCTTCTTCACTCTGTCCACTGTGTGTGGACAAAAAGAGAACCACAAAGAGTGGGCAGTGGGCAGTAGGCATTGTGGCTGCCCACACTCCAGGCAATGTTTTATTTTAATAAATAGATTAAACCTTAATTAATGCATTAAATATGCTTGATTAATAATTTAGTATGTATTTACTATGATGCTTGTGTTTAGATAAATAATGATGGCTGATGTGTAATGGAATATTAAGTTGATATGATTTTTTTAATTTTTTTAATTATGTTAACTGTAGAGTTTTGTACACTTGTCAAAAACAATGGTTTCTTCACTTAATGGAGATATACATCAATGATTAAGGATACACTATGCTTTATTATTATTATAAATGATGTCAACTACAGTAATTGTCTTAAAAATTGCATTATAAACCATTTATATATCAATTCTAGTTTATAAAATTTAGTTTTGCCACTTTGCATTGCTTTATATGCAAAAGCAACATTTTGCTTTGCACCTCAAAGTGACGCAAAGCCTCGTCACTGTGCTGTGCTTTTTTGCTTGAAAAACTTTAAGTCTTACACCTATGCCACTAGACTACAGAGTCTTGAGCATATTATTTCGTCAAGTACACTTCCAGTCAAACTTGTGCTAATATGAAGTTATTACAAGTTATATGGTATATTGTGAACTTCACTTAGTTCAGGTTGGTGATGTGAAATTTGTTAAGGTCTGTTTTTTCTGTTAAGTTTGAGCTTTTGTATTCTCTTTCAGAATATTCATTCTGGAAAAACTGAGCAGTGGTGTACAAAGTGTAAGCATACTTTGCTGCTTCTGTTATAGGTATAGAGATGATCATAGAGATAGAGATTATAGAAAGAGGAGCAGGAGTAGAAGTCGGGGTAGATCTGAGCATGATCGATACCGTGGCAGGGATAGAGATCGTCATCGGTACAGAAGCCGCAGTGGAAGCCCTGATTACCATAAAGATCGTGGTAGAGGTAGATATGATGATGAGAGGCGTAGCCGAAGTCGTTCCTATGGAAGGTAGTGTATTCTCCTGTTTGGAGTCCTGTCAACTGCAACCATATATTTCTGCATGCAGGATCTATGTGTTAGCTATTTTCTTTCTGATTCTTTGTTTAATGCTGAAGTGCCTCTCCTGCTCGGCGTAGCCCAAGTCCAACGAGGAGTCCATCTCCTCGCAGAACCCCTCAACCTAGGGATGGTAGCCCAAGTCCAAGGAGGAGTCCATCTCCTCGCAGAACCCCTCAATCTAGGGATGGCAGTCCAGATGGACGCAATGACAAAGTACGCTCTCCAACTCCAAGAAGTTTGTCACCCCGTGGCCGGGGGGCTGAGTCTCGAAGCCCGTCTCCACGTTCTGATGCTGATGTACATCCCAGAACCCTAGCTATGTTTGGTTCATAAAGTAGCAACAAATTCTACAAAATTATAATTTGGCTACTTCTATATTTGTAGGAGTGACAGCGAAGAAGCATTGATGAATTTCTCCATGGTGTTCCTATTTTAGCGTTGTTATCCTTGAAGGGGGCATTCGATGATGATATCGTCTGTTTAGTGCTTGGTAGAACAAATTTGCAGAAACTTATTTGTAAGGTTTATTTAACTCATGATGTGTGTGATTCATCCTAATACACTTTTCTGTTGGTAGTTATGGGTTGACACTAGTTTTGGCTATTGTTCCTGTTTTTTGCTCTTCTTATTTCTCAAGTGTAGATCTATCTTGTACTCATGAACAACTGCTTGCCTTCTATAGTTATGTGCGTGACGAGTGAATGTTGCTGAATTGCACGATTTTGCAACAGCTGTTGATGCTGTGTCTCCTGTGTGTACTTCGCTGTTGATTGTTAGTGTATGTGTTTGCTGGTGACAAACTCCCATTTGTTTCCAAATTTTCTGAACGGCAATGATTGGTAAGGTCCGTAAGGATAACTGTCTTACAATTTACTGAAGTCAAATTGAGGTTTTTAGCTTTTTGCTGACTTTGAGTTTTGACCCTCTGAAGGAGCCTTAGCGGTGTTCATCTGAAAGAGGGTGAAGTGCACTTTTAATTGTAGCAGTTGCAGTTGACTCACAAACCTGTGATATGCACTTATGCTGGTTCTATATAGCATTCCTTCTATAAGCTATATGACACCAAACCCCTAAGTTTGGACCTTAGCGCCGGTTCATGGTTGTATTTTCCTCACCTGATACTTGTTTCTAGGTTGCTAGCTTGTTTCTTGTGTTCCCCAAATTATTTTGTGTGCGTGTGCTGTAGGGATTCTAGTTAAGCTGATGATGGTTAAACTATGTTACAGCACGAGAGCATCGCTGTAGCTGTGATGTGCTAGCCGATGTCTATGTAGATCGATTGTAGCTGACTTGTGTGCCTTGCTGATAGCTATTCAATCTGATGCTGATTGCATTGCGGATAACTATGTAGATCAGTTTGATGAATGCTTTGGTAGATATGTCCTGCTGGATAATATGGGGTCTCTTTATCCAGTTCCTGATTGCTTCCTTCTTGCAGGAGTGCACTTATTTGGAATCCTTTTATCCCCAGTTGAGTTTTCTCCTGCTAAATAATGTGGTCTCTTTATCTTTTTTGCAATTTTGGTAGTTATGATTTAACTTAAGTATTTTCATGTTAGCATATCGGGGACTAAATTGATCAATTTTTATATTATAAAGACTAAATTAAATATTTTTACAACTTATAATTTGGATTAGAGTTAATACTCAAAATGGTCCCTCGACTATGCCATAATTACCAATTTGGTCCTCAACTACCATTCTTACCCAATTAAGTCCTCAACTATGTAACTTTTACTCAATTAAGTCCTCAACTATACAATTCTTACCCAATTTAGTCTTCTGTATTAATTTGATTGTTTGTTGACTGTCAAAAGTCGGGATAAAATTATAATTTTACAAGATTTCTCCTTCCTCTCCATTTAGCAGCGCCAAACCATGCAGCAATACACTCCGATCAGATTTCGATCGTCAAAAAATCGTTGGAAATCAAATTCATGGGCTATCCGATGCATAACCACTACTTCGATACTGACAGGTTTAGAACCCAACCGGAGCTTATTGCTACATGGTTTGGCGCTGCTAAATGAGGAGGAAGGAGAAAACTTGTAAAATTACAACTTTATTTCTACTTTTGACAGTCAACAAACAGTCAAATTGACAAAGGACTAAATTGGGTAAAAATTATATAGTTGAGGACTTAATTGGGTAAGAATGATAGTCGAGGACCAAATTGGTAATTACGACATAGTCGAGGGACTATTTTGGGTATTAACTCTTTGGATTATATTGCTAGATCAAAGAGAAAATTTTGCAGTTACTGAACCTTATGAAGTTGTGATTGCAATTTATTTGAAGTGTAAATTTCCGTGCATGACCGATTCGTAGGCCTTCAAATAATAATTACTTAATGCTTAATGGAAGTCAGTGAGTGAACTGGATGTGTCATCATATAACCAATTTCATCAATATTTGCATATAGGTTTAATATTATCGAGCTTATATTTACTGGTAAGAAAGTGGATATCCATGCATTCAGTCATGCACAGCCTCATGTTGGATGAGGTATTCTGAAATATTTGTATAGCTTTCTTAGAGTTGTGTTGTGAGGCTTTGATTAATTGTGGTCTGGAGAGTTATGGCTTGAGGTTTGGTCTCTGATTACAGCTCTGTTCAGTCTATTAGCTATATGATCTCTCTGGTTGTTAAAGTAGATGAGAATGAATCCAGGGTTGTTGCTTATTTTCTGATTGTATTCATACGCATAAAGTCGTGTTTACTGAGTCCTGGTTGTCATCAAGCATTTTTTATCTTTTTCTTTCTTCCTTTTCTTCGATTGTGACAAGTCGTTCTCATTTTTATGCCATTCCAAATTTCTTTACTTTGAATCGTGTTTACTGGTTCAAAATTTTAATTGGGTATTTGGGTGTAACGGTCTTTATAAAAGTTTCAGTCTCTAGACCAGTAGACCATGTGTTTTTTCTCTCTGCCTTTATTATGGGTTTAATGTGAAGGTATGACTTTTGTTTGGATTCTTGTCATATCCCTTCCAAAACGTCAAAGACTTCTATCTCTGCACATAACATTAAAATTTATTATATTCATATTAAATACTATTTTCTCTTCACAATTACAGAGTACTTTTAAAAATTAATATATTAATTACATTTAAATGTTAAAATACAAAAAATAGTTTTTAAAATTAAATAAATTATTTGTATTCCGATCGAATAAAAACAATATTCAAAAGAAAGTACAAAAATTTGAATAGTAACTTTAAATAAAAAAGTACCAAAACTATTTCTTTAAAATAATTCAATACATAAAAAATTGAAGAAAAAAGTTTTAACTTCTAATTTTTTTTTCTTACCTAAATCACAAATATATTTCATACTAATTAATTAATTTAAATAATTTTTGCCATTCATAACTTATTATAAAAATTTATAAAATAAGACATAATGAAATGATCACATCTTTTTTTTTTTTTTTTTTTTCCTTTATTTCAAATAGTTAAATTTTTAGATCTATTAAATTGATGGTTCATATTTGTTCATAAGTTCTCACCTGGGTCATGGTTTTAATGAGAATTCTTCCTCCCATGAGAACCTATGAAAACTTTTCTTCTCATGAGAACCTGCAAACTTATACGTAGTGTTCATTAGTTGAATGTGTATAAAATAGTATGAAAATAATTTGAGAGATCTATAAATTGATTGAAGGTCAATTACTTGGGCATTTATATTTTAGGCTCATTTTGATGTACAAGAGGTTCATTATATTTGTTGATTATAGCTTGACTATTTGGCATACCCCACCTCCTCTTACTTAAAAATTTGATATTTAGTGATCTATGTTCACTATTTGTATACATGAAATTCACTATTTGTGTAGTTTTGATACATCGTCTTCAGTTTTGTTTCTAGCATTAGTTTAAAATTACGGAGGTGGGAAATTTGGAGTTAAAAGGCAGAACCAAATTAAGACTTAAATTATATTATAATTATAATTTTATGCTAATTCTACCTACGGAATTAAGATTTAAAAATATAAATAATTCATTATTGCTAAATTATAATTAGGAAGTATAATTTTAAACTAATGCTACAAACAAAATTACGATTTAAGTATAAATTTAGCAATAATGTATTATTTGTTGCACGGAGGTGCGAAATTTGGAGTTCAAAATTTATACGTAAACTAATGCTAATTATAGCAACGGAATTAAGAATTAAGATTTAAATACAAATAATACATTATTGCTGAATTTATACTTAAACAGTAATTTTGTTTCTAGCAAAATTATATTCCGTAATTATAATTTTTTTAAATATTTTTAAATCTTAATTCCGTTGCTAGAATTAGCATAAAATTCTAATATAATTTAAGTCTTAAGTCTATGGCTCTGATTGGTAACATAATTAGCTTATTAACTAACTTTGGCTTATTTGATCATTATTAGCTGTTTGACTTGGTTAAATAATTAATATGAATGTTTGATTAATTAGCTTTTTGTTTTAAAATGCTAAAATTTAAAAAGTTTTTCAAAATAGTTTTTTTCGATCAGATTTTTGAGAAAGTCATTTTATATGTAATCAGCTATCAGCTAGTTTATCAAATATTTTTTTACAATCAGTTAATGTCATCAACTACCCACTAGCCCAATCAGTTAACAACTATTTACCAAACACTCCTATACCTAACATTAGCTTAACATTATAATTATAATATTTATAAATATTATTTGTTCTTTTTTTTTTTTTTTTTGAGTTGATTCTAATTTTCACATATAAATAATAATTTATTAGAAAAGAAAAGACATTTGAAATATTTATTGTCTTTATTTTTAACAATTCAAAATTTTATTTAATGATGATAAAGACTTCGTTGAGCGACAAAGTCTTCGTGGCCCACCACATAGTTGACTGTGGACTAAGTGACGCGACTCCGTTGGCGTTGAATGCACTCATTGGAGAGTGTTTGCTATAAGTTTAAAACACCGCGCGATGAGATCGGAACTCACAATTATTAGTGCTCATAGAGTTTTTAGAAAATAAAATAAAATAAAAAATAAAAAATATGGGTGATTTAGTAGTAGCAAGGCTTCTAGCTATACTTTCATTGCATTCCTTCCTTCTACTGCTATCTTCTAATGTAATTCCTGCTTCCAGTAATGAAGAAGCCAAAGGTCTTCTGAAATGGAAATCCACTTTTTACCAACAAAACAGCTCGTTGTATTCTTCATGGACTATTTCAGAAAATGGTGGCAGCCCATGCAACAACTGGCATGGAGTTATCTGCGTTGCTGGAAGTGTCCACAGGTTGAACCTTACTACTTCCAACATCAATGGTACACTCCAAAGCTTTCCATTTCATTCACTTCCAAATCTTCAATATTTTGAAATTAGTTTGAATGCGTTTTGGGGAAGCATACCACCCGCAATTGGCAATCTTTCCAAGCTTGTCTACCTTGATATGTCAGTTAATTATTTTACTGGCACAATCCCGCCTCAAATTGGCCTTTTAACCCGTCTCAAGACCCTCCATATGTTTGCAAACAACTTGGGTGGTCCAATCCCCGATGAAATTGGCAACTTGACATCTCTTACTGAGCTTGCTTTGCTTGGTAATTCTCTTAATGGCTCTATTCCTGCTTCAATAGGCAATTTGAAAAACTTGAATTCTTTGCAACTTTATATGAACTCTCTTTCTGGCCCCATTCCTCCCGAGCTGGGAAAACTCTCCAATCTCACTGTGCTTTACATAGACACAAACCAACTAACCGGTTCAATTCCCCCCGAGTTAGGAAACCTATCAAAATTAGAACAAATGTACATTTTTTCTAACAATTTGAGTGGTCATATTCCCCATGAACTAGGAAAGCTAAAGTCACTCTTATATCTCAGCTTATGGTCGAACAATCTTAGTGGTCATATCCCAGCTTCACTAGGTGGCCTAGAGAATTTGTTACTTCTTCACCTCTATGGTAACCAACTTAGTGGTTCAATACCTGAAGAGTTAGGGAATCTAAAGAGCATCACTGATCTTCAACTGAGTCAGAATATGCTCAGTGGTTCAATCCCTACCTCTATAGGGCGTTTGAGGAACTTAAAAATCTTGTTTCTTCGTGACAACAATCTTTCTGGTTCCATTCCTCCTGAACTTGGCGAACTGAAAAAGTTGACCGTACTGGAAATGGATGATAACCAATTCTCAGGCCATTTGCCCGACGGTATTTGCAAAGGGGGGGCACTTCAAAATTTCACGGTGAACAACAATAACCTCTCGGGGCCGATTCCACCCAGCTTAAGAGACTGCAAAAGCTTAAAGCGTGTCCGGTTTGATGGCAATATGTTCACCGGAAACCTCTCTGAATCTTTTGGCATATACCCTGATTTGCAGTTTATGTGGCTCAGTCAAAACCAGTTCCACGGTGAAATCTCCAAGAACTGGGGAATCTCCAAAAACTTGACAAACCTGCAAATGGCTGAAAACAATCTCACAGGTAGAATCCCTCCTGAGTTTGGAAATTTGACTCAACTAGGAATACTCAAACTTTCTTCAAATAACTTGGGTGGGGGGATCCCTGCAGAACTTGGGAGTCTATCATCTCTGCTTTCTTTATACTTGGGGGACAACAATCTTTCCGGTGAAATACCCGAAGAGTTAGCCTCTCTTAAGACATTGTATGTCCTTGATTTATCCAAGAACCAGTTTAGCGGGCCAATACCCAAATTCATAGGAGACTATCAGTCTATGTATGAATTGAACTTGAGCCACAACAACTTCAGCCAGCATTTACCAGTTGAGCTAAGTAAGCTATCACATCTTACAACGCTGGACCTGAGTAACAATTCTCTCAGTGGAGAGATCCCACCTTTGTTTAATAGTCTTAGTGATTTGGTGAATGTTGATTTATCCTATAATCAGCTGACAGGCCCTATTCCTGAAACCATGGGTTTCAAGAATGCCTCTCTGAAGGGAAACAAAGGTTTATGTGGAGATAATAAAGACCTTCCACCTTGCACAAAACCTCCAGAGGTGTCCTCTGTGGAGAAAAAGAAAAAGAGTGGCCACAAAAAACAGATTCTCAGCATTGTATTGCCTATAGTGGGAGCCCTGGTACTAGTTTCTGTGTTCGCAGTGGTTCTTTTCACTTGTGGGAAAGGAGATAGAGATCCAGATGAAGAGCAATCCAATTCGTTGAGAAGAGGCGATGGTGACAACAATGATGAAGACACTGATCTCTTCTCCATATCCTCATTCCATGGAAAGGCATTGTATTTGGACATCTTGAAAGCCACCAAGGAGTTCGACGAGATGTACCGCATTGGGGAAGGAGGGTTCGGGACTGTTTACAAGGCTAAAATCCCATCAGCCGAGATAGTAGCTGTAAAGAAGCTTCATTCATCAGCTGAGATCGCTGATCAGAAGGGCTTCTTCAATGAAATAAGAGCTCTGACAAAGATCAGGCACAGAAACATCGTCAAACTCCATGGCTTCTGCTCAAATGTGAGGCATGCATTCTTGGTTTACGAGTACCTTGAAATGGGTTCTTTGTCGAAGATGCTGAGCAGAGATGAGGACGCTAGGAAGCTGGACTGGATGACGAGGGTGAAGATCGTTAGAGGCATCGCTCAGGGCTTGTCTTATATGCACCATGATTGCTCGCCTCCAATTGTTCATCGAGACATATCGAGCAGCAACATTCTCCTTGACGCTGATTTCGAAGCTCGCATCTCGGATTTTGGCACTGCTAAATTACTCAGGCGAGACTCCTCTAATGTCAGCGCGCTTGCAGGCACCTGCGGATATATCGCACCAGGTAAGTTCTCCATTTCTCCCCCCTGCAAGATATCATTTGCAAATGTAAGGAAATTTTACTTGGAGCATGGTCTATTTAGCAGCATGAACCATGAAACATATCATTTTAATTACATTTCATTTTCATTTGACAATATTATTATGTTTTTTAATTTCATTTTCCTCCACACTAGTTTCATTATAGCAATACTAAAGTATCATTTTAATTCTACTATAGTTTCATTTTATAATATACATTATTGTTTGAGCTCTATTTTTTTGTTCATTTTCTTCCCACATTAGTTTAATTATAGTAATGTTGAAGTATTATTCTAATTGCACTTTAGGTCATTTAACAATATATGTTATTGTATGACTTTAGATTTTAGTTTCATTTTCCACACTCACTAGTTTCATTATATCAATACTAAAGTATCATTTTAATTATACTACAGTTTCATTTGATAATAATGTGTTTTGTTTTTAATTTCATTTTTCATACACCAGTTTCATTATAGTAACACTAAAATATCATTTTAATTCTACTACACTTTCCTCCTAGTCTACATAGCAATGTGTGGATCATAGTCCACTGTATAACAACTGTGCAAATATTGTGCCGTCTATAGGATGTTAATCATAGTCTGAACTGATGGGTCATCAGTCTAATAAGTCTGAAAAGTTTTTGGGTTAGAATACGAAAAGTTTGATCCAATAAAAAATCATTTTGATAAGGCGAAATCAACAATACCGATGACCCGAACAAGCTAAATAGAAATTTAGTGTGCTAGTTCGATAAGTTGAGTCACTTAAGGTTATTCTTTGTGAATATACAATAAATTTCTATTTACGCACATTTTTAGTAATTTTTATTAAATTTATTACTAATTACTATATTATATTATAAGTGTGTGTAAATAATTTATTGTTTTTAATTGGAATTTAGAAATTGAGGTTTAACTTATAAGTTTATATTTATTAGTGTAAATGCGCTAGTTTATTAAACTTGAAAGTTTCCCGTTTGAGATTTTAGGGTTAGGGTCTAGGATTTTAAACTTGACTAAAACAATTAATAAGTCTCTACAGCTCGATAGGACTAACCTAAAACTAAATAGGCTAGCCCGATTGACATCCTTAATTATTTATAAGATCTGATGATTGCATATTGTATGTAATCTTGCAGAATTTGCTTTCACTATGAAGGTGACTGAAAAATGCGATGTGTATAGTTTCGGAGTATTAACATTAGAAATCATTGTGGGAAAACATCCTGGTGACTACATCCATCGTCTCATATCTCCTTCCCCTGCAACCATCCAACTCCAGGAGTTGCTGGATCCACGGCTTCCACATCCTGAAAATGAAATAGTGGAGGAAGCTTTGGTTCTGATTGCTAAAATGGCCCGATCTTGTCTGCTTACAAATCCAAAAGCAAGGCCAACAATGCAGGTAATTGCTGAGATGTTGGCAATAGGACCACAATGAATCGTAGGTTTTGGCAAATTAAAACTTTCCAATTCTGCACTATAAGAATAAAGACATTTAGTGACAAATATTTTGTGACACTTCATAATTTAGTCACAAATAATACTATTTTTGTGACCATAAAATAATTCGACACTATTATGTTGTGTAATTGTGATAACTTTTTTTTTTGTCACATATAATATGGTACTTGTGACGAGTAAATATTTGTTATGAATAAGTTGTCACTATTACTAGAATAATAGCGTCGTAACATGCATTGTCACTAAATGTATGTTTATTTTGACGGCATTATAATTATGACGGGAACGAATGTAATTGTGACAAAATATAATGTTGACACAAAGTTTTATACCTTTTGTGACAAATAATTGTTGGTCACTCTTGTTGATAATATTCATGACAGCATTTTTGTCAATAAAAATACAATTGGTTGGTACCATTATAAATGAGAAACAATTGTGAGAAAAAATATTGGTGTCACTAATATTGTCATTTTTTTTTTGATGAAATTGTTACAAATATTTGTGACGCTCTATAATTCCGTAACAAAAATTACTAAATTGTGACAATAATTGTGTTGATTTTTTTTGTCACTAATTTATTATAATTGTGACGAGTAATTAGTTGATACAAACTTACAATTACTTTGTCAATATAATTAAATAGATGAATATTGTGTGAAGTTATGTTGTAATCAATGTTTTCCATTAAAACTCTGTTTGTCAGAGCTTATAACTTATTTAATTTTAGTCTACTATTAGCTATAAACTCTATTTGGTAATGTTCCCCCAAAATAAGCTAGTTGCTTAAAATAAGAGCTTACTTTGAAAAGAGTTTTAAAAATAAGCTAGTAGCTTCCTAATTTTTTTCCATCTTTATCCTTATTATTTTAAATAAATGACATCCTCTACCCTTCTCAATTAAAGTCCTTTTAGCCTTTTAAACTTTTTTTTTTTTTGGTGACAGATAAGTTCATTATCACTTATTTTATTAATTTGTTAGATCAATTTTTTTTGAAATAAAAATGTATATATTTAGTACCAACAATATAGTTCAAAAAGATTTATTAAAATAAATTATATATAATAAAAGTTGGTTAATTGGATCAATTAATCAAATTAGTTAAAGTATAATTGAATTTGGTTGATTAGGTAACAATTTCTCAAAATAAAAACTCAATTAGTTTGATTCAAAATTAATCAAATTAATTGAATTATTACTCCTAACCACATTAGCCTATTATTTGTACATTAAGAGTCATCCCCTTAGTACAATTTTCGTACAAGTTGTTTGTATCAAATATATAATATAAAAGATAGTAAACATAATAAAATATTGATTAATCTAAAAAATTTATTGAGACAAAATCAAAGTATTTGTTTGATTGATTAGGTAACAATTTCACCAACACAGTAATTATATTCAATTTTAAATTAATTAAATTATTAAACAAGGTTAGTCTTATTACTTATTGAAAAAGGATTTTAATTGTATCAACTAATTACTCGTCACAATTATAATAAATTAGTGACAAAAAAAATCAACACAACTATTCTCACAATTTAGTAATTTTTGTTACGGAATTATAGAGCGTCACAAATATTTGTAACAATTTCATCACAAAAAATGACAATATTAGTCACACCAATATTTTTTCTCACAATTGTTTCTCATTTATAATGATACTAACCAATTGTATTTTTATTGACAAAAATGTTGTCACGAATATATCAACAAGAGTGATCAACAACTATTTGTCACAAAAAGTATAAAACTTTGTGTCAACATTATATTTTGCCACAATTTACATTCGTTCCCGCCATAATTATAATGCCGCCAAAATAAACATACATTTAGTGGCAATGCATGTTATGACACTATTATTCTAGTAATAGTGACAACTTATTCGTAACAAATATTTACTCGTCACAATTACAATATTATCTGTGACAAAAAAAAAAGTTATCACAATAATTACACCCCACAATAGTGTTGAATTATTTTTTTGGTCACAAAAATGATATTATTTGTGACTAAATTACGAAGTGTCACAAAAGATTTGTTACTAAATGTCTTTATTCTTGCAGTGAATATTGTTGATCTACCAAATTAGATGAATAATCATATCATTATTCACTTTTTACTTTGAACTTGTTCTCACATCCATATATATATATATATATATATATATATATATATATATATATATAAAAGATTAGGATCAAGTGCAAAAGCAACTTCCGGTGTGAAAATGCATATAATCATGATCAATGACTCTTTTAAAAGAAATTCTATACGAAATGTGTACTTGAAAGTTCAAACCATGCACTTGAAGGCACAAACATGTGCATCTGAAGACTAAAATTCTACACTCAAGGCACAAAAATATGCAATCGAAGCGACCTATGGTACCAAAAGTGGAAGTTATTCAACTTAAGTGTTATTGAAACAATTACCCATACAAATTATTTGTAAACCTCACAAATTTTCTTTATAAAGTTAGTTATACGTTGTTGAAAAAATGCAAAAGATATAAAATATTGACCCAAAATTGTCCACTTGAAGAAAAAATATATGCACTTGAAAGCAAAAATTCTGCACTCAAAGACAAATAGATATACAATTGATGTAATTTATAATACGAAAAGGGAAGTTATATATTCAACTTAAGAGTTATTATTATGAGTTCGTGACCTTTTTACAAAAAAAATATTGCGAATTCTTAACATTCCGAGACCCCCTTATACAAGAATCGTGAATTCTCTTTTCGGTCACGAATAAATGTTTTTGTATTAGTATGGTTTTACACTTTCAAAGTGTGATTCACACATGGTTCTCAAATAGCGGGAATGTTTACTTGGACTCAACAGGAGATGTGACACCACAAGAAGGCAAAAGTTAGGAAAATGAAAGATATAATTGATCAAATATAATTCTCATTTAATCGCGAATATATGTTAAATGACTTACATGTTCTTAAATATTTGTATATTAATATTGATATTCATATAACAAAGTCAAATTCATATATCTCATTTTTAACTATATATTATTAATAGAATTCAAACCATATACCTTACAATAGTTAGCAAAATTGATGAGTCCTTCTTACGTAGATTCAATAACAGAGACTAACTGAGAGGTTGCTTGGATAGTAGCTTAATTCACAATTTATTTCCATCAACAATATTTAAATAGAGATTTTAGAGGTTTTGAATTACTATGCAGTAAATTGAAAAATGTAATGTATTAAAAAAGAAAAACAAAACTATAAATTTACCCAACACAATCAACTTTGTAATGATTATGAATTATGATGTTTGTTCAAAGGTATCCCCACGCTTTAATTTGTCATCGGTGCATGCACCATTGCAACACGATTTTTCTCACCTCCAATATCATTAAAAATATTCAGTCATTTCTATTAAATATAAAAAAGGTTAATTACGTAATTTAATAAAAACTTGGTTAAAAATACTAACTAATTTTCACCGACAGCAGTAAACAGTCAACTCCGAAAAATAAAACTAAATAAAATAAAATATACAATTATGGTGTTTGTAAAAAAAGTAAGAGGACAGTTGTCTATAAAATCCGATAAATTTTTATCTTTTTGAGATCAGAATTCTTGGATCTGACGAAGGTGGGGACACTATCATTAATATTAATTGATTATTTCTTAAATTGGCATAATTATAGGCGTTCACACTGCCGTCCCTGATTTTCTGGACGTACCACGTAGCGTTGAATGAATAATTTTAAAGACTATTACCTACTTCTTACCAAAACTAAATTATTTGTTCGATCAAATTTTACAATTATACCAAATACAATAAAAGTTAACATTAAAAATTAAAAAATGTAGGGTATAATTGGACCACACCTCAATCAAGAATGTTTCTTAACAATTATTTTTATTTTTTAATAAATTTTTTAAGCTTAAAAAGGCAACGGAGTTGGCGGATCACACTACTCTGCCTCCAGTCTCCACATCTACTATCGTTTTCGTGACGCGGCAATCAATCAGCGGCGATGTCAACTCTCAGTATTCCGGCATGTGTCCCTCCGGTTTCCGACGACTGTGAACAACTCCGTACTGCCTTCAAAGGTCCTCCTCTCTTCCGATCATTTCTCCATCGCCGTCGTGTTTTTGTTTTTTATCTGTACTGCTTTGATCTAGTAAGCGTATGCTTGCATGGATGGTGGATTTCATCTCTAGTTGTTTTGATCTTTGAACCTTCTAAGTATACTTGTTTTTTACTTTGTTGACTATATGATCTTGTTGATGTGTACTAAGTGCATATTCTCTGAAAAGTTTTCGGCATATACTTACAGTTTTTTTTTTTTTTTGGATCATGGCGTTCATTTGGTTTTTTGCTTTTTGGAGCTTATTTCTGCAGGATGATTGTGATAAGTACTTAGCAAACTTGATCCATGAAAATCTTCTTTCTGATTAACTCTGATCTAGTTTCCTGATCAACAGAATCTCTCGATTTCCCGTATATTCGTGTGATTTTCATCTCTTTCTGGAATTACTGTTGAAAATTGATGACTTATTCTAATGCTCAGGAAAACTTTAGTATCGCAAGTAGGCAAATTGGAAATAAGCATACCAATTACCACATATGTAGTAGATACGTGCTTCCCTGCAAGCCTCCACTGTAGTGCGATATCACTAGCTTTCAGATTGATTTAGTTTGATCTTTGATTTTTTGGATCCTTCTTCTTTTTAGATTTGAAATTTGCAAACTACCTGCGTTTGTTGTTCTTTGTTCTTTGGATATTACAGGATTATTGATTATTGATTCTCTTGTCTTGATGGAATTCACTATTTGTTTCAGGATGGGGGACAAATGAGAAGTTGATCATATCAATTTTGGCTCATAGAAATGCTGCTCAGCGCAAGTCGATTCGTCAGGCTTATGCTGACACCTATGGTGAAGACATCCTCAAGGAGTTAGATAGGGAACTCTCACATGATTTTGAGGTTTGAGAACAAGGATTGAAATGTTGAATGTGGTTCCTGCAAAATGACTTCACAAGAGACCTATTGATTTCTTTTCTTAAATTATGACAGAAAATTGTATTGCTCTGGACACTGGACCCTCCAGAACGTGATGCATTTTTGGCCAATGAAGCAACTAAGAAGTGGACAGCAAGCAATCAAGTGCTTGTGGAGATTGCCTGCACAAGGTCACCTAAGGAATTGATTGTTGTCAGAGAAGCTTATCATGCTCGTTATAAGAAATCCCTTGAAGAGGATGTTGCACAGCACACAACTGGGGACTTCCGCAAGGTATAACAATACTGATATTCCTTATTACCTCTTTTCTTGAAATGCATGCTTGAACCTGAGTTTATAAACGATGTTGCTTCTTGTACTTTTGCCTAGTAAAAGAGTAACCATTTATGTGGACAGTGGACAGTCTGTATATATATGTATATGTGACCTTAACCAAGTGAGAATATGGACTTCTCTCAAGTCACTGGTATTAGATTATTGACATTCCACATTTACTCATTTTCCAGCTTTTGGTACTTCTGGTGACCTCATATCGCTACGGGGGTGATGAGGTGAACATGACTCTTGCTAAGCGTGAGGCTAAAATCCTGCATGAGAAGATCTCAGACAAGTGCTATGCTGATGATGATGTGATTAGAATTCTGGCCACAAGGAGCAAATCCCAGATCAATGCAACCTTGAATCACTATAGAGATGAATATGGACAAGATATTCTCAAGGTACAGACCTCATCGCTGCTCTATGTTGTTTGCAGTTCAATTTACTCTACTGTTATGAATTCATCTGGTATTTGTAGGATTTGGAAGCTGATGAAAAGGATGAATTCCCTGCAATACTAAGAGCTACTATCCAGTCTCTTCTCTACCCTGAGAAGTACTTTGTTGAGGTACTTCGCGGTGCAATCAACAAGAGGGGCACAGACGAAAGCGACCTGACAAGAGTTGTTGCAACGAGAGCTGAGGTTGATTTGAAGGTCATAGCTGAGGAGTTCCAGAAAGTGAATAGCATCCCTCTAGACCGGGCCATTGCCAAAGACACCCATGGTGACTATGAAGACATGCTCTTGGCTTTGCTTGGCCATGGCGACATTTGAAGATGAGATAAACCATATCGATACATAATAATGAGAGACTCAGAGTTATCTGCTATAGGGCTTTTAAAGAATTCTACTTTGTGATCTCCATGTTACTTTTGTGTGTTTTAAATGTTGTTTTATCTTTCAAGGATTTGCATACCCTTGTTGCAGCGAGAACTTGGATTTACCTGTAATATCGTGTTATTATTACAGAATTGATTGTCTTTTCCTGGTCTCCACTTTCCAAACTCCACAATCCTTTGAACCACTTTTTAATGCATTGAAGGCTAATATTTTAAGCTCCAATTTAGATTATGTACATATAGTGAACGGTGTACATGAGTCATTTCAATCAAATTGGTCAAACAATTGATTCAATGATTCAATAATTGATGGAGCGGCCTTTTTAATTGGAGTTGTTGAACTATAAACAGCTCAAGCTGATTTACCTTTTTTGAGTTTTTGTGGTCCTCTCTACCAGCGAGGGCAATAAAATAAGTTTCACCCAAAACACATCTAATAACAAGCCTACAAACTCCATAAATCAAAGTTAACAATATAGTAATTGTATTTCGAGACAACCTAGGCTGTTGGCAGTTAAGAAAAATCAAAACCAAGAAGCATTTTGAGTGTAAATTAAATCCAGTGCACAGCCATCTTCATACACACGGACAACCAAAACATAGATTTATGAACAATACAACCCAATTAGCTAAATGGTTCATAGCTCTGGTTGACTTGTTAATGAAGCCTAACACACAACAAACCCGGTAAAAAACACATGGTCACATCACAAGAAAAACGACCCCTGCTACAAATAAGAGAAGGAAACACAAATGGTGAAAGATGATATGAACCGATTTGAGTTAGACCTAACAAGTTACACCAACGCAATACTGCTCTCACCACCAGGAGGCTTGCGGACACCACCATAGAAGTCCCGAGATTCTACTTTTCCATCTGCAAATATGTTACTACCACTCATTTCTCGCAGCTTTGCGGAGCTTAGGTGCTTCTCTGCCAGTGCTGGGGGAGTATCTCCCTTGAAAATGTCATTTCCTGACAGCTCTGCAAGCTTCTGGTTGGGAATTTTCTTTGCTGTCTTGACAACTTCTTCACTGGCTTCAGGATCCTGCAAGAGATATGAAAAAGCATGTAATGAAATGTACTAATTGCAGGGGATATGAACCTAGATGAATCACAAAATCCCAAGCATAGCCGCATGAATATATGCAGACTGAAGTTCAACAGTTACCAACTGTGACTATAGTTTGAGAAAGTATAAACGGCTAAATTTCAAAAGAATCAAAAGCATAGGAAAATACAGATAGAGTGGAATTTCTCAGACCACTCGGTCAGGACTATTATCCTCAACATTCATAAATTTAGCATGTTCTACTGGTCAGGCCTATTAAAATAGGTTAGTCAGAATTATAACAATTTCCCACATATGTACTGTGACTATAGTTTGAGAAAGTATAAACGGCTAAATTTCAAAAGAATCAAAAGCATCGGAAAATACAGATAGAGTGGAATTTCTCAGACCACTCGGTCAGGACTATTATCCTCAACATTCATAAATTTAGCATGTTCTACTGGTCAGGCCTATTAAAATAGGTTAGTCAGAATTATACCAATTTCCCACATACGAACTATACCATTCATGATAAAGCTTAGGGTAGTATACATACGTGATTGGGAGCAGGCTCTCCAATGGTAATGCTTTCTCTTAATGCCAATGCCCGAGCAGTTAATGGTCGAGGCTTGATTTCAGGTGGCGGGGCAAAGATGTCATGCCCACTAAGCTCTTTGCATTTTGCATCAGAAAGTTGCTTCTTCAACTTTGCATCTGCCTCACTCTCTAGTGTTCCACTTAGCTCCCGCTGCTTTGCCACTTCAGGCAGTGAAGTTGGCTTCTTCGGTGAAACAGCTTCATCTTCACCAAATGAAATTTGGCTCATGCCAGCAACAGCTTGCTGTGGGGACATAATGAAATGTTTAAATCATTAGAGTGGTGCTAACCATCACCCTCATAATTCATCAAATACCAAATGCTGTGACATGTACTAATGTACCTGATACATTCGCAGTCCAGTTTTGTTGCTTGGAGTAGCATTTGCAATCTCAGATTCTAGCATGTCCTCTTCACCGGTCGATGCAAAAATTCCACTACCTGTCATCTCTTTTAACTTATAACCTGAACATGGTTTCCTGAGACATTGCCAAACCTAACTGCATCAGCACATCTCAAAGCAACTATTTCGGAGGTGGGAAGATGTTATTCAGTCACTATTCTAATATATAAGCAGTAACTTGATTCTTGTATCCTAAAAGAGGGAAACTATACAAACGAAAAGTAAGCAGAAAAAGTAATTGAGCACAACACATAATCTAGCAAGTCATTGATACACCCATCTTATGTCTGCACTCTATGGATGGTGACAAGATCAGATCTTTATGGCAGGTCCATTACAATGCAGCATATAGTTGGAAGAAAATCAAATACAGAGAGTAATTTCAACTAACATAAATATAGGAGTTGAACATATAGATGGCAGCAAGGGGAAGTGTATCCCTATATAGCAGCTAGGCGCTCGATACTAATCGAGATACAAAATTGACTTTAAAAAACAACAGATTTGGCAGGGCAACTGAATGGAGTAATGCATAGCTCAAGAATTTCATGGTATGAAAGCATCCCCCGTATAGAAACCAGTTGAAAGGAGAGGGGAAAACACATTTAAGCATAAACAAATCAATTAATCATTGTAACATTTTGCATTAGAATGGGACAACAGAATGATCAAATGAGTAGCGGAGAAGGAAACAAAAATACTCCGTAGTCTGTACACTTTCCATTAACTGATTACACCAAACAAGGAAAACTTACAGTGACTTGTTGTCAGAAAGCTAATTTAAAAGATATAAAAAAGAGGCAAAATATTACAGAGTTCTTGAACATTTGAAAAATATAAACAATGGAGCAAAGGACAAACATTGTTGACAAAACCGTGAAGAAAGCAGCCAAAGAATAACAAGAAAACAAATCCTCTGTAATGTCTGTTCTGCAACAATCTTCCCCCCCCCACCCCCCAAAACCCTACTACCCCGCCCTACCCCTCGGTTCTGCCATTTCAGCATTAATTAATCTCAGACAAATTATGTATTTGAATTTTGGACAACTCACAAAAATCATAAGAATGAAACAATATAATTCAAAAAACATATACCATAATGTTTTCACGGAGAATAATAGTTATTATTATAGCATAATAATATATCAAAATGACACTAATCTAAAAGGCGTGATGTGGAGAGAGGAGTCAGGTATATCTTTGACCTTTTATTCAAGCTCTCGACCTCATCATCCGTCACTTGACCTCCGAACACCACTTTCTGGATCCCATCTGACGGCTGCAATTTCATGTCATAAAAAATAAAAATAAAAATAAAACAAACGTTACATTTTTCTTTATTATATCAATCAACCAATAATACACTTTTCAAAAATTTAAAAAAAAATGAAAAATAAAAAATAAAAAAGTGTCGATTTTGAGGAAAGACCTGGTGGGAGCGGGCGGAGGAACGAGGTGCAGAGGCGGAAGCTGGGGAAAATTCCGGCGGATTCTCCGACCAGGTAAGCAGATCTGCCGTCGAAGTGTGTGACTTCCTCACCGGAGTGCTCCTCTCCATATTCCTGTCTCGTGAATGCTCCAATCAAAATCCAAACTCACTCCACAGATTTCTATTCTTCTCCTTCTTCCTCCTCCTCTCTGCGTTGGAATCTCAGAGGCGAGAATGAAATGACCACGATGACCTCGGAAAGAATTTGTTCCTTGTTTGACAGATTTCTTGGAATCTACTACTCCCCACAGTCCCCCAGTACTACTACACTATTCCACTGCAATGGAATTCTCTCTGCGATTTCTTCTCTCTCTCTCTTTCTTTCTCTCTCTTTGTTTGTTGGGACTTGGGAGCTACGTATACCATAGATAGAGTGAGAGAGTGAAGGGTATATATGGGTTTTAGAAACGTCGACGTTACCCCTACAATGTCCATAGTGGGTGTGGGGACAGTGGTAGACGGTAGAGAGAGAGAGAGCATAAATTTATTTTTATTTTTTATTTTTTGAATTTTATTTCCGCCTTCGCCTTCCTTCTCACTCATATCTTTTCTGTTTTTTAAAAAAAAAAAAAAAAAAAAAATTCCCGATCGCATGTGCCACAGCTTGGCAGGCACGTGTAGATGGCAGGTGGGCACCACTGTTCCTATTTCCTATGTTGCCCCTCATAAACAGAAAAGGTGTAGAGGGGCGTTAACGTCAAGAAATGTAACGGAGGTTTACATGACACGATACGGCAATCATGTGATGTTATGCTTCATGTGACGATAAAGTAACCCTCCTCTTCTCTACACAGAAGGAACCATCTTCTCTCTCCCTCCCTCTGTTTGCTTCCACTTTCTGTAACCTTATCAAAGTTTGACTTTCGAGCAACTATTACTGCTACTTCAAGCGTTATGTTACTATATTCTTTTCTTTCTAAATATATATAAGATATCGTGAGTCTCTTCCAACTTAATCAGATGTCTCAAGTTTATATTTTTGATCGACAATAATAAAATTAGTCTAGATGTATGATTGTTAGACGACTAGTTGAGAGAATTAATAAAAAAAATTGATCAAGATTTAGCGTAGTGATTTGTTGCCTAATTTGAAATCACGACAGTGTAAGAATTGGGTTTCAAATCTCACTAAAAACGGAAAAAAGATCTTAGAGGATGTGAATTAGATTCTTTGTGTAGAATGCTTGACTCGCGATTTACTCATGCAGTAACTCAAAGGACAAATACTATGAATTTAGATAAAACTTATCAATTCCGTAATTTTTTTGGAAGCAAGAGTAAATGAAAAGTTAACGCGAAATCAGGGTATTAGTTCAACCGTTACAGTAATACTGGTCCCTGGGTTTTGGTTGGATGCTGTATTAGTTGACTTTTTTGGCGTAATAATGTCTGGCCATGCTACGCGTTTTATACCATTATTTTGAAATAGAACCGTTCAAATACCTTTGGGCTCTGGCTAGCTGTTATGGTTGGGATTCTATCCGTTACATTTCGCCGTCAGTCATTGGTGCAAACTGTTCCGTTCCATTTTTTAAAAAAACATATAAAAATAATAATAAAAATGTTGCACCAGGCCAGTTCCATAAATAAATCACTTTAGAGAAGTATGGATCCAGCCCAAGCTTTCAACTCAAACTATAATCCTTACCTACCTCAATATGGTAGACCAACCTATTGCTCAATGCAATTCTATTTTTTTTTTTTTTTTTGAAAACTGCAATTCTAAATTTCTAATGATGGCTTTCCATGAGTTTTTCTTATTATTATTATTATTTTTTGGTTTTCTTATTAGAAGAAAGAAGGAGTGAAGGTAACTTATTTTTTGGTTTTCTTATTAGAAGAAAGGAGTGAAGGTAACATAAGAAAAGAGAGGAGTTTCATTTGCTATTTTGGAACTTTTGGTAGATGAGAAAAAAGTTTCACATTTAAAAACACGCATGGTACCCATACCACATGAGTAGTCACCGGTTGACAGTCACTCTCCTCTGTTATTTTAATTATGGGCCCACAAAAAACTCGACCAATGGGCAGGCTTTGATAGCTTAAGTGACGTGGTATAAGATATACTATTAAATCATGAACCCTTATCTTCATTATTGCAATACCAAATAGCATGTACTAAGAAGATCTATGGAACATATTCAATTGAAAATGTGTTGGTAAGAATTAAACTCGTGACTCATGATCATTTTAAGTACAAAAAGCATGCTCTAGCCCACCCAACTACTCATTTTGTAGACCGAATAGCTAGCTCTGTTTTTTTGGAATATATTAAATTTCTTATCTTATGTTAGATTAATCTTAAACCCCCAGAACTCATACCTAAGAGTCCTAAGATAAATCGTGAGTTGTCCAAGTATCTTCCCAATTATTCATTGTGTTAACTCTATGCACCGTGAATCAATCTCCACACTAGTCAACTTCAAAAACTTAATCAAGTAGATATGTTAAACGCTCTTAAACCACATAACCGCAGAAATGGAGTAACCAAGTCGGCAGCACTGTTTTAAGGTTTGGCTGGGTTTTCAAGCTACTCTTAGGTTATACATCAAATAAAGAAGCAAAAGTTGGATTGTATTTTTTAATTTGTGTGGGATCCATGGAGTTTAATATATAATTCTAGAAATTTTAGGTTATTAACAAACAAGAAAAAAGCTTAAATTAGTTACCAAAGTAATTAAACCATTTAATTAGAAAAGAAATGTAATTAGATCTATGAACGGTCTAAAATTATACAATTCGATCAGATTTGACATGTTTATCTAGTTATCACTTATGTCACGATCATTTTATTTAAAAATTAGTATTTTACAATTTATTTTAATAATTGTAAATTAAAAAAAAAATCAACATAACCTACCATTTTGTCTTCATCTCCACCCGTGAACAAAAAAAGTTGTTCGTCTCCAAGCCGGAGACGAAGAAAACACTTTGTCTCTGGCATGGACGCAAAGAAAAGCTAAGCTCTTCCAACATGGAAGTGTTTTCTTCGTCTCCCTACCAAAGACAAACACTATTCTTCATAACAGCCGGAGACTAAGGGCGTAAAAAATAAGCTTTTCTAAGTTTTAAAATTATTGAAGTAATATAGAGTAATTTTTAATAGAATGATAACCAATCAAATTATATAATTTTAGACAGGAACATAATTATTTTTTTTTTGAGTTGAATTGTCAATTATACATTTATATGTAATTTGGTAACTAATTTAAACATTTAAAAAAAAAAAAAAAAAAAGTAAAAGGTGGGAGGGAAGAAGAGAGGCATGTGGGTTATAATGATTCGAAAAACCTGCCAAGCCATTGCACTGCACTGCAACCATAACTTGAAACACACCCAACGAACAAAGTAATCCCACAAGATTCCTTAAAAGCAGCTTTACACATTAAAAGTCCTCTACCCTTTTCAACATTTGTGCACTAAACTACATTATCACCACCCTCATTACTACCTCAAATCTCGCCGCCCAATTAATCCCTAGAGAAATTTAGCCTTTTCTTTTTTAATTAAAACGGATTTACTTGATATGATTTCACATAAAATTTGTTTTTAAACTTTGGGAATATATAATGAGTTAATACCCAAAATCGTCCTCGACTATAATGGTTTTTCTCAATTTCGTCCTAAACGACTTTGGTGACCTAATATCGTCCAAGACTTTTGTGTTTCGCTCAATTTAGTCCTAGACTTTCGTGTTTTTGCTCAATTTAGTCTCTCATTTGTTATTTTGTCTATTTGGTGTTAAATAAATAGACAATTCAGTAATTTTAATATTGGCATCTCTTTACTCATAGACATGTGAACTGCGAAATCCTTTTTTTTTTTACAAATTACTCCCAGAATTACTTCTAAAACTGTAAATATAAAATTTGATTTGCAGGTCCGGGAGTAATTATGGGTGTAATTCGTACAAGAAGGAGGAATTTCGCACTTCACAAGTTGAAAGTAAAGAGAGATCAATATTGACATTACTGAATTGTCTCTTAATTTAACACCAATTTGACGGAATAACAAATGGAGGACTAAATTGAGCGAAACACAAAAGTCTGGGACGATATTAGGTCACCAAAGTCGTTTAGGACGAAATTGAGAAAAACCACTATAGTCGAGGGTGATTTTGGGTATTAACTCAATATATAATAGACAAGTCGATGATCAAACCTTTGACCTTTGGTTAAGGATAGATGAGTTTCTTCCACTCAACCACACCCTCCAAGTTTGATCAATAAAGTATTAACAAGAATTGAACGATACAAAAATCATGTTCTACTAACTTAGGGTGTGTTTGGTTGATGGGTTTTGTCCAGGGTATGAAAGTGATGGTTATTGTTTGGTTGATAAGTTTTTAGAATACTACTATGGGTTTCAAATATCCCATCAATTAAAAAATTTATACCCAAATAAAATAAGAGTTTCATTCCCTTATTCATTTTCAAGCACTACTATTAGTAACCATTTTCATTCCACCCTACTACTAAACATGTTAAATACTTCCACCAAAATCCATTATCATTACCAAGTATTTGATACCCATTCCGAATTCTGATTCCAATTCCCATGTGCGAACCAAACAGGCAAACACACCCTTAGTCATTTGTGGGAAGGATAGTTCATGCTAATAATTTATTTAAAAAGTTAATTAGGATATCTGAACCACTAATAATTAGGGGTGTTCAATCGGTTAACCGAACCGTTTTAACCGAACCGAATTAACCGAAGTTTTTTTTTCCTTTAACCGTTAACCGAACCGAAGTTTGCTCTATCGAATTCACCGAACCGAAATTTTTTTCGGTTAATCGGTCGGTTAACCGATTAACCGAACTTTTAAAGCTAAAATTTAAAATTCTAAAAATAACACCTAAAATAATAAATTCAATTAAAATAAAATAAATATCATAATAAATTCATAACAAAATATATAAAACATGAATTATAAACTCCAAACATCCATAACTTCAAATTAATATTTATATTTATATTATTATTTATATATATATTAAAAACTTCAGTTAACCGTTCGGTTAATTCGGTTAACCGACCTTTCGAACCGAATTAACCGTTAACCAAAGTTTTAAAATTCCTTTAACCATTAACCGAACAGAAAAAGTTCAGTTCGAAAACGGTTAACCGAACTTTGTCGGTTCGGTCGGTTATCCGAAAATTATCCAAAGTATGCACACCCCTACTAATAATGCCTTGGACTAACACACGGGTTGTCATTTATGAATAATCTAGCATGTTAAAGTTAAACCCAAATGACTAGCTTGATTTGATGATTTGAATAGACATTCACACCTAACGGATGATGCATTTTAAAAGCAGTACACGAACAGTTAAAAGACTTTTGACTAATGAGATCATTTCAAATTGATGATGATTTAACTAAAATAATTGTTTATTCTCAATAAATCTAATCCATGATCTCAAAGGACAAGAATTGATTAATTGATGAGTTTAACTATGTATATTTCCAAATTATACTCCTTTACTTCTACTTCCTAACGTGACAAACAAGAATGAGTTATTTTCATCATGTAGGTCAACAGAAAGGTGTCTATATCAAGAACAAGTGAGTATAAGTAAAAGTTAAGAGTCCACCAAACATTTTCCTTAATTGATAAGTTCATCTCAATGATATTCAAGTTATTCTAAAAAGAAAGAAAATAATCTGTTATTCTCAATAAATCTAATCCATGATCTCAAAGGACAATAATTGATAGGTTGATTTCAGAGAAATCTAAAAAAAAGTCTACAAGAGTATAAATCAATTTTCCTTAAAACTAGGAAAAGGACGCGCCCACAAAGAGTGTAAATCAGGTTTTCTAAAATTAGAAGAAAATCGCCCACCGTGGGGCTCGAACCCACGACCACAAGGTTAAGAGCCTTGCGCTCTACCAACTGAGCTAGACGGGCTTGTTGGTGTTTTTTTAAAACGAAAAACATATAACTGCAATGAGTATAAAATGGTGCAGCACTGCAATTATCATGTCCCAAGTCCTAAATACTAATAGGAAAATACTACACATAGTCACACTCCTTATTCCCAACTTCTACTCTTTTAAAAAAATTGACACTTTAAAATTCACATGATGAAAATATTCTATTCTGACAAAAATAAAGTGAATTTTAATGTTTAATGTTCCCATGTCTTAATAATTAATATGTACAAGGGTAACTCCAATCAAAATGCCAACAGATTCACATGTACAACTATAAAATTATGAATTCGAATCTTTACCGATTTAATTTAAAACAATTAATTATCTATAACTTAGGCTGGTTTACTATTTCTTTGTGGTCCTTTACCACCACAAGGCAACAGTCACAAAGCAAAATTTATTCAAAAGGGTTGTGAAGTTTTCTTAGTCATCTAAAAGAAAAAGTATAAAGGATGCTGGAAACAGCTGAAACCAGGAAACTATGTACACAAAAATCTTTCAAAATACTGCTCTACATTTCCTCCCACTGAGGAAGATACTTTAATTGAATCAAAGGTATATTGGTCTATATTGCAATCCAATCATGCAAAACAATTTTAATTTACTTGTGATCTTCAGAGAAGTATGTAAAGCCATTAGTAACGGCTACTACTATGCGAAATTTGAGAGTCCTGGGTGCCTGTAGATTAACATTTGCTCATCGCTTTCACCAAAATCGAGTTCTTCTTCACCATATTCCACTTCAATGACAGTTCTATCATCGGGATGAAGCTCTTCTGTTTCAGATGGTTGACCTTGTGCATACTGTCTTCTCGAAGCAGAATTCTCTAACTCTATGAGTTGCATCTCTGATTCTACCCGAGCTTCCATAAGAGCCCGGTTCCTATCCCTTGGATAGGTGCAATAGAGGAAAGAGTATATAAAGCAACATAGTGCCATTGGAGTTCCTATTACAGTGAACAGTGCCTTGGCTAAAGATGAAGCATTCTCTCTGTCAGTAGAAATAACGTCAGCACCCTGGGGAACAGGTTCGTAGCCATATACCTTCTGAGCAAGCAACCCAACTGCAGGGGGAGCAAAAGAAGAAAATATGGATTCAAATGATCGATCCAGAGCATAGATGCTTGTTCGGGACTTCTCGGGCACAATCTCTGCAAAAATTGGGCTGTTGGCAACTTATTATAACAGAGTCCAACCAATGATCAAACCATATAGGGAAATAGTTAATTGCAAGATAAAATAAAATAAAAACTGACTAAAGGTATCTAAATGGATAGCAGACAATCCCACTGCATGTGTCTATAAGTAATTGGAACCCTTAGAATATGATATTTTGATAAAACAATAGTGAACACTTGGAGCAGAGAAAATAAGGCATATAGATATTTACTTGTTTGTGGCTGGAGCATTCCACGATATGAAAAACCCAGTAACGAATAACAATAAAGCATGCAGCAAAATAGATGACGGGTCATCAGGCAAAGCCAGCAAAAGAATTGCTGCCAGTGGGATAGCTGATGCTGTGCTTATTTGTGCCAAAAAGATTCTTCCATAATTTGGAAGACGCTGGGATAGTAGGTCTCCCATGCTGCCTCCAAAAAGTCCCCCAGCAGAACTAGCAATCACAAACATGCCTATAAGAACAGCAGTATTTCCATGTGAAAAGCCAAAGAGCTCTAACCACATTGGGGCAAAGGACAAAGCTGACCAGGGAAATGAACCAGTAATGCCCTGAGCTACAATTATCTGGAAGGACTGTATTTTGATGACCGATTTTGCTTCTTGGATGAGGTCTTCGGCCTCTGACCAAAAGGATTTTCCAGGAATTTTACGACGTTCTTTTAAACTACCATCAGGAAAGTGAGGATCCTTTGCAAACAGGCGAACTAGAATACCAACTATAACACTGATTACTCCCACAAGATGAAAAGAGAATCTCCAACCAGGAATTCCCATGAATGTCATGGGAGCTACTAACAAGGAAAGTATTCCACCAACAACTGAGCCAATGTTGCTAGTAAGCTGCAGCCATCCAAACGCCATTCCACGGTTGCTATTATCGGTTGAGTCAGCTACAAGGGACTGAATAGCAGGAGCAACTATGGCAAGTCCAATACCATTCAAAGCTCTCGATACTGCCAACTTATCAACCAAAAAATTATGTAACTTCAGCAACAAAAAGAAGCATTTCTGATTTTCATCTATATACTCTTTTCTTGAATTGCTCTTAGATTTCAGATAATGGTTAGATTTGAATAAGAATTAGATCCAGCAATCAGTATGGGTTCTAAATTCATCCAATGCCAAGATAACTATCCAGCATTTCATCAATTCTTTCGCTCTTCATGCCTGTTGAATTTATCAAGTCTTTTACACAACTAAAGTTTGAGAATTTTGGAAATTCTTATTGACAAAGTATTGAAGTCCCAGCACTGATTGTTCAGACAAATAGCAAAGAACATTAATTACCATATCCGAAACTTTTCCTCTGACTAATATTTCACAAGACGTTAAAAATGAATTACAAATTTAAAAAACGAAATACTCGACTAGTCCAATCATTAAATGTTGGCATTTGAAGCAGAAAATGAGGCTTCATACTACAGAAACCACATAACAGTTACTAAAACCTAATCGGTGAAGAAAAGAAAGGAGAGAGACCTGAAAGTAGGTGGAGGAGAAAGCAACGAGGAAAGTGGCGGCAGCCCAGAGAAAGGCCCCGTAGGCTATTACATGGGCCCGATTGTGGCGGAGGGAAAGGTAAGCGGCGAGCGGGTAGCAAAGGGACTGAACTATGGATCGGAAAAGGGTGAGCGATCCCAGGCCGGTTGGATCAGTGTGAAGGGCCTCTCCGACTTCTTTGTAAACTCCGGGCAGTAAAGACTCGTCCGCCCGCTCCATGATCCCAGCTAGATTCACCAGAAATAGAGTAAGCGTTTCGGATTTCAATTTCTTCATTTTACATGAATTTAATTCTTCTCCCAAAGGGCGGGAAGGATAAACACCGTGAATTGCAATGCCAACCCCTAATTCGAAGATTTTCGATAGAGGCGGTGGTGTAGTTTGGGGTTTGATGGCGCCATGACGATGACGACTGAACAGCACTCGCCGGGACCCGAACCCGATGAGAGTATGTAAATATATTGGGAAAATGGTCAAATAGGCCCTCGAACTTTATCTTAAAAGTTAATTAGGCCCCTGAACTTTTTAAAGGTGTAATTACATCCATTAACAATTTATTTAGGTGCAATGAAGCCCAAAAACAAGTTAATTACCTGCTATCACAGGTTATTAGGGTTCAGGCCACCTTCAGGCTAAATTACCGGCAAAAAAAAATGTGATCAGCGTTCGACTGGCGAAATTTCCGGAAAAAAAAAAAAAAGTGACCGGCAACCGACGAACAGTCGCCGCCGGTCACTTTTTTGCCGGAAATTTCACCGGTCACTTTTTTTTTTTTTTTTTGCCGGAAATTTTGTCGAAAGGTGGCTTGAACCCTAACGACCTGTGATAGCAGGTCATTAACTTGTTTTTGGGCTTCATTGCACCTAAATGAATTGTTAATGAATATAATTACACCTTTGAAGAGTTTAGGGGCCTAATTGACTTTTAAGTTAAAGTTTGAGGGCTTATTTAACCCTTTTTCCAAATATATTTTAAAAGATTAAATTTGTGATTTTTTTACTCTATCACATTAAAATTACTACGGGCCAACACACTTTATTGAGCCCAACTATATTTGAAGTTGGGCCTTAAAATTTCCTCTCTCTCTCTCATCGATCGAATTATTTAAAAATAATTTATACATTTAAATGTGTCCGTGACGGAACTGGCGTTATCTATCTCCGCTCCGTCAACCAAGAAGACGGAGAGTCACGGCATCCATAAAGGAGCAGAGAATATGAGGTAGCCGTTTAATTGGGTATAGAGAGGAGAGGAGAGGAGAAGCAGCATAATTTTGGGCCTAGAAAGAAGGATCCAGTCTAAAAGCAGACCCACCCGACTTGACACCCGGGTCGCTATCGCAATCAATTGCGGGAATCGTGCAGGTGGGCCCATCCTCTCCAAAAACGCACAGTTAAAAATAGTATAGTACATGAGCGACAGATGATAAGCCTAACCTAATCCACGTCGGACACCCCATTTCCCACGCCCCTCCGTTACCTCATTCGACCATCCGCCCTGACGTCTTCTTTTACGTCAATAAAACGCTGTAAATCTTATCTCTCTCTCTTTTTTAAAAGATAATAAATATAAATTAAACAACGTTAATTTCCTCAGATCATTAATAATGCTGGAAACAAACATTGTATTAATTTGACTTAAATAGTGCTAAAAATATTGAGATTCGAACCCACAAACTCTCATATTTGTATTTAAAAAACAATTCTGAGTAATTATATTGTTCTTTTTTCTTCTTAAAGTTCAGTTTTTTTAACAGTTGAAGGAGTGTAAGTAGCCGTTGGAGAGACTTTTCCAATGCACTAGTTGATGAAAAAGAGGAATATTAGCGGGGAACAAGTGGGGTTCATGGAAATCATACTGTGTGTCTGTGTCTATGTACCCAAGAATCCACATTTTTTCGTTTTTGTTGCTTACAAAGTTATTTGCTCTGTCTGTATCCGCACCACTTATTCATTCATGAAACCCGTAATGTAATCCTAGTCAATAAAAGATCAGTCTAAATTATTCATAACTGATGGATTTAAACTAAAAATAATACTCCTTAATAAACAGCTCTCACATGGAGAATCAAAGTTGAAATTTTATGATGATTATTGTATGATCAACTTGGCTAGAGTTACCACAACAAAATATTTTCTATTCTGTGTTAAATAGTTTCTTTTAAAAATAAAAAATAAAAAGACTGATTTGATTGGATAAAATTGCATTTGATAATAAAAGATTTCATTTTTTTTTTAAAAGGCTCTGGGAATTTTACGCTATATAGTAAAGTACCATATAAAAATCTGTATATTTATAGATTAATACGCATGAATTTTCCAGTCAACAATAAATGTGAAAATGCTATGATCGGATTGACCACAGAAAGGGTGAAGAATGCGACTATTTAAGATAATAATAAAAATCCTTCAATAAAAAAAAAATATTCCAAAAAGAAAAAGAAGAGGGAACTGCTACAAAATGATGATCACTAATTTATGATCAGATCTAGTTAGGTTACTTTGATATACCTAACAATTTGTCTCATTACTATATTATATATTTTTATTTGTTATTTTAGACCGTCAATGACTTATCAATGTTAAATGCATATACTATTCATGCATATTTTTAGGTAACACAATAGAGAAATGATGTTGCCAATTGTTGAAGCAATTGGCCCAAAGATAAATATAATTAAATAATTCAATAAGTCGAAAATAAACCACATATATTCAGAACAAAGAGTCATTAAAGAATATTATGTGTCAATTTGTAGTAATAAACTAAGTCTTGTATTTTAATCATTAACAATTGGTATTATATATTTGAGATATGCTTCACATGCGATGTTCTTACACAAGAGCAATCGAATTCTAATATAATCCATAGAGGTGTGAATGTGATTGCACGTGTCTCTTCTAGCTTAACCAAAACTCTGGGTTCCAGTCCTAGGAGTGTGGATACCTTAAAACTTATTCACAAGTTAGGGAACGTTTTGTCACTCTCTGAGGTCTTACTTAGCACAAATAGGGTTAGTCTCGACGTGTGAAACCTTAGTGTACCATTTCATTTACGTTTAACTCTAAAGTCGTGACGTGAAGGTGCTCACGGAGTGAAATTTACTTTGTGACCTTAACCAGAAAAGGATGACAATAAGTAAATCATCTTAGGTTGTACATAGTTGATTGGCTTAAACAAACAAAAAGACAATAGACAGGTCATACAAAAAGTCAAACTTAAGACCTTGTATTATCAAGTTTACTGTCCAACTAATTTGGTTGGAGTCGTCATCGTCTTAATATACCTTAACTAAGGAAACATAAGATCTTACCAAAAAAATTTTGAATTTGAATATTTATCGAAAGACAAAAACTTATGTGAGACCGTCTCACTGTGAAACAAGTTTGGTCGGACCGGGTCAAGATAAAAATGTAATACTTATAGTCACAAATGTAATACTAATTAGTAATAAAGTTTTTATTACTTATAAGGGAAAATGTAATACTTTTACATTTTGATTTAAAAGTATTACATTTATCCTTAAAAGTATTATATTTATCCTTAATAATATTATATTTTCACTTATAAATAACAAACACTTGCCAACATTACTTATTAGAAAAAATGTAGTAATACTTTTGATAGAAAATATAGGCCCTGTTTGGTAAAAAATTGGCCTATAGGTCAATTTTGACTTATTTGACCACTATTAATTGTTTGATTTAGTTAAAATATGAGTTAATACCCAAAATCGTCCTCGACTATAGTGGTTTTTCTCAATTTCGTCCTAAACGACTTTGGTGACCTAATATCGTCCCAGACTTTTGTGTTTCGCTCAATTTAGTCCTCCATTTGTTATTCCGTCAAATTGGTGTTAAAGAAAAGGACAATTCAGTAATGTCAATATTGATCTCTCTTTACTTTCAACTTGTGAAGTGCGAAATTCCTCTTTCTTGTACGAATTACACCCAGAATTACTCCCGGACCTGCAAATCAAATTTTATATTCGCAGTTTTAGGAGTAATTCTGGGAGTAATTCGTAAAAAAAAAAAAGATTTCGCAGTTCACATGTCTATGAGTAAAGAGATGCCAATATTAAAATTACTGAATTGCCTATTTATTTAACACCAAATGGACAGAATAACAAATGAGGGACTAAATTGAGCAAAAACACAAAAGTCTGGGACTAAATTGAGCGAAACACAAAAGTTTGGGACAATATTAGGTCATCAAAGTCGTTTAGGACGAAATTGAGAAAAACCACTATAGTCGAGGACGATTTTGAGTATTAACTCGTTAAAATATCAATATAAATGTTTGGTTAATTAGCTTTTTGCAACTCCAAAAGGCTAAAATTTAAAAAGTTACTCCAAGCAACTTTTTCAATTAGCTTTTTAAGAAAATAAATTATACCAAACAGCTATCAGCTAACAGCTAATTTACCAAACACTTTTTTACAATCAGCTAATGTTATCAACTATTTATACCCTCAATTTAACACAATCAGCTAACAACTAACAACTATCAGCTAACAGCCATTTTACCAAACAGGGCCAAAATATTTTTACATTAAAATGTAAAAATATTACATTTTCCCTTATGAGTAACAAACATTTTATTCATGATTAGTATTACATTTGAGTATATAAGTATGACAATTGCATGTTGATTCGATCCGATCTGACGCACACAAGTATGATCCTTATCGAAAAATTAAAACTTGTATAAATATGAGGTGCAGCGTGCGTGGAAAATGGTCATGATCGAAATGAAATGACTTCAATTGTGTCTCAACATACACTTCCAAACGGAGCTGCCTAACAACAATAGGATAGAGACCTCACGTACCTAAACTAGCCAGCCGCCCGCGCCTAACAACAATTGTTATCATGCTTGAGTCACATATTTTATAAGGTTGAAGTAAGCTAGCTACATTAATTTTTAGATTGGTCCAAAACCATTATTTTAAATATTATGGGGACCGCAATATTCAGAATTTATGATTTCTTTTTTATATTTGTTTATAATCAGTAGAAATATTTGTTCAACTATATCATACAATTCATTATCAGGGCATGTGAAATTTCATCCCCAAAAATAAACAGGAAAGCTTGTTGTTGGGGACACTGTTATTTGATCATATTCTATGGTCGCAAAGATTGAAAGAATCATTTTTGGTCATTTTTAAATATAATAAAAAAAATAATTACTAAATAGAGTCATTAAAAACAAGATTAATAGTATTGGTGGTAGCTTAGTGCATAGTCTAAAAAAGCCTACCGAGGTCCTAGTTTGATTCGTTAATTAATAATTACCCTATCATGATTTTGGCCAGCCCTAAAGTCATAAATTGTACACAAAAATGCGTACACCCATCGTATGCTTATGGTGACAAATTTTGATGCCTTTATTTAAAAAAAATAAATAAATAAAAATTCTCAATCACCATTTAATATTGTGTATTTCATAAAACTGTCACGATATAAACTTGAGACTTAATTAATAATTAGTGGAATAGCCAAACTTCAAAGCAATCAATTTAAAGATGGAGTTTATATATATATGCACGCCGAAGAAAATCAAACCCAAATTGTCCAACTTTTGCAACTGCGTTTTCAGTAAATTCTTCGATCAAGTAGGACATGACATTTCATGTCACCCTTAGCTTCAACTTCGTTCCATCATTGCTTACGTTTTCGTACCCCTAACAACATTTTTCAAAATTAGACAGAAAATTAACTCAAGAGCTTAAAAAAAAATTAATAAGTTCACTGCTAAGACAATTCAAAGGTCAAAAAAGTTGTTTCTTATAATTTGTAAAGGTGCGGCCGTGATTCAAATCGATGCTAAAATAGTTTCGCAGTATTCAAAATACCAATTGTTATGTGTTTTGAGTACAAGAATCAAAGTGTATCATATTTGCCAAATGGTTTGCTCCACTCACATGGGTGGAGATCAAACCCCCAACCTTATGCTTAAGGGACAAGGTGCTAAACCACCACGCCAACCATGTTGGTTAAGGTCTCCTACTTATACTAATGCCTACAACATTTTTCTGCTCAGGTAACGGTCTCTATAGTAATGATGAGCCGAGTCTACATTAAATGTATGATTTTCACCATAATTGCTTCCTCTTAAATAGGGCAGTGCTAGAGTAAATATGTTACCATTACGTGGCCTTTGGTTTCTTTGGGTCGGCTCTCCTCTTCAAGTGCATTCTGCCAAATTATTTTGTCACCAACCCCCTACTCCCGAGTCTGCGAAGGTAATTGAGCTGTCTAGGGAATACTAACATATATAACGGTAGATTCTTAAATTACTTTTTAGAAACTCAGGATTTTATATACATATATGAGTTAATTTCATTTTTAGTCCTTTTTTATTAGAACATCCTCATTTAGTCCTAGTATTAATGTGACATGACCATTTTTAGTCCTTTATCAACAAAATCGTTGAAATATCGTTAAATACAAAGACATTTCAATATTTTTTTTATACAAAGTAAGTTGAACCGCTATACTTTTTATGTTTTTTTTTTTTTTTTTTTTTTTTTTTTTTTGAAAACATTCATAATTGAAGACTAAAAATGTCATTGTATTTAACGATATTTTAACTATTTTATTGATAAATGACTAAAAATGGTCACGTCACGATAATACTATGACCAAAAGTGGATGTTTTAATAAAAATGACTTAAAGTGGATTGTCACCTATAAATTTATTTAGGACAAAAAATGGAATTAACTCTTTTTGAAATATTTTCCTTCTTTTTCTTTTTAGTTCTAAATATTTCCATTCTTTTTCTTTTTAGTTCTAAATATTTTGCTTTTCCTTTCAAAAAAAAAAAAATAATAATTTGCTTCCTTTTTGAGCTGGTAACTCACATCTTATAAATTTTTTAGAGAAAAGAAATCAGCATAATATACAGAATCGCCGTGATTAAAGTTAGATCATCTGAGATATGATGAGAATAATTGTACATTCGATAATGTATTTCAACTTTCGTTTGTACTCGGCGTGGCTGTGATTTGCTCAGTCGCATTTTGTTTTTTGTTATTTATTTTTAAAAAAATTCATGTTCAATAAGTGTGAATCCCATATATAGCAAAAAAGACAAGCACTAACATCCAATATGCCATAATTGCTCACAAAATCATTCACAGCAGACAGCAACACTAGATTTTAACTTGATGTAGCAATTCCATATATTGGCCACCTTAATTAGTTGTTATATAGGTACATAATATGTAGTGACACACATAGATAGATATTATTGAGTGAGTAACAAGGGAAATTTGTGATAATAACTAACAAAAGACCGAAAGAAATTAAAAGAGCTTAATTTGTTCATAATTTACTGACTCAAATAATTAAAAAGAGTAATATGTCACTTTTGTTGTGAGTCAAATTTATGATTATTAAGTTAATTGTCTGAATGACTTAGCAAGTCACGTTTGATAAAATAAAATGGATGCGGGCATGGGGCATGATTGGTAGAAACAAGATAATTGTGTGGGAATTGAAGGGCCAGCATGGTTGCATAAAGGGCATTAAAGGGGTGCATGTGTCACATGTCACCATATCCTTTCAATACCACTTAAGATCTCCTAAAATCTCAGGGCTCATCATCCCCACCCCCCTCCCCCAATTTTAACTATAATTCCTTCTTTGAAACTAAACTGAATTATTAAACACTCTCATTTCCCATAATCATTTCATCACCCCATATAGTTTAATTTAATTGGACCACTATTCTATTTTTTTTTTTTTTTTTTTTTGTTTCACCCTGACATCTAATATCTCGCTCTAATTCTAATTCAGTACAATTTAATTAACTTTTACTTATAAAAAATTTGATGCATAACTCTTTAACATACCATTAGGGCTTTGTAAATAAAGGAGAGAAATATCAAGAGGTTGGAGCAGCTAGGGAAGATATTGAGATGGATGTAATAACAATAATGCATAATTAAAAAAAAAAAAAAAATTAGTGTCAAGATTCTCCACAGCGCATATAGAATTGAAGAAAAAGATGATGGGAATGAATTCCAAAATTCTCTAACCATTCCTGCAAATATTTAACTTAATCACCATCCACAATGGAGAATAAGACATGCTATATCAACATGTGTGATAGTATTACAAGGTATATGTCAAACAAAAATCTAAATCTTTATATTAAAAAAGAAGAAAAAAGACAAAGTAATGAAGGCCATTTGTACGTGAATAAGCATGCACACTACTATACCTTTTGATCTTGGTTGATCTTCAATTTTGTCTGATAAGAATATGGTTTCCAGCTACGTACTTGGCTTCTAAATTTAGCGCACTGTACAGAAATGGCGATATATGCTAAATATATATGAAGAATCAGGGAACATTCTCCAGGCCCTTTTCAGGGTGGAATTCTGAAGGGGAAGATGTTGAACAATTCTGCTTGTAGTTATTGCCATTGTTTCCGTCGAATAATCTCATCGGATTGCCGCCGTCGTTTATCCCTTGCTGGGTAGGAAAGCCGCCGCCGAGATTTGGATCGTTGTTGATGATCCCCAAAGCGTCATCCATGGAGGATTTTGTCCCGAACTCCAGTGCATTAGCGTTGTTTCCCAATGGATTATTCTTGATTGAGGATTGTAGAAGAGGGTGGAATGGGAGGATTTGATTCTGCATGTTGAGCAAATTTGGGCCTTGTTTTGTGATGCCGAGATCGGTGTTACCCAGATTGAGGTTACTTGAATTTGAGCCTGGGACGGCGCCGGCGCCGGCGGCGTTGGCGGCGGCGGCGGTGGTGGGAGTGGTGTTCCCGCCGCCGCACCGGGCGTTGTTTGCGGCCATTAGAGCATCCAGCATGGTTGTGTTCAAGAAGGGAGAATTTTGGACCTTTTGGGCTGAAGGCCTTAAGGGGTAAAGCGGTCCAAGACCGTCCAAATGAGGCGACCTCATGGCGGACCCGGCGGCGGAGAAGAGATCCAGGCGGCGGGAATACGGCGAGCCGACGGAGAACGGCGCCGTGGGGATGCCGGTGAACTCCTGAACCATTTGCCGGAAATTAGCAGTGTCCGTCGTGAGCACCGTGGTCGGCGCTCTCCTCGACGCCCTGGTCCGTTTCTTGGAATTCTTAGGAACAGCATCCGACGGCCCCCGCATGTCCACCGCCGGCTGTACGGTCGGCAATGATGACGACGAGCTCGAAAACTGGCCATGATGATGACTCTCACCAATCATCCCCCCTTGATGACCCCCCAAGAGAGCTTGAGTAGCCGATGATGACAATGGCGATGATGACGACGGCGGCGCCGCCCCCACCAAACTCCCAAAGTTACCAAAACCCGGCTCCGATCTCAACCCCCGGCCAGGCCAAACCAAATCATGATTATGATTATGATTATGATTATTCCCGTATTGGGAATTGAGATTCCCCAGTGACTGTGGAAAAGTCGCATCGGGATTCCCCGACTGAAACAAGAACTGCGGCTGCCGCGGGCTTGAACACGACGAGATAATCGAGTCAAACTGACCCGACTGGTTCAAAAAATTAGAAATGGACTCACCGCGCGAATCATACTCTTCATCGCCACCGCTAGATGATTGCAAACTACCACTGTTTCCAGAATCCATAGCCAAAACGGAAAATACACACACACATATATATATATATAGAGAGAGAGAGAGAAACAGACAGAGAGTGGCCGGGGAGAAGCAGGTACTATACCGATCGAGGTAAAAGGAAATTAGCTCTCTCGGTGTACTAAAAAGATGGGAACAAAGAGAGAACCCATATCTCCAAAGCTATCTAGCTAGCTCTGATGATGAATGAATCTCAACTCTTAAAAACGCTATATCTTAGCTCCATCCATCACCTTTACCGTCCTTTTCTTGGACCACAAGCTTGTACGCACGAGGAAAGGAGAGAGACTGAAAGCTATGCCTTTTTCGCTTCTCCTTTCTCCTTCAAGATTAGGGTTTTGTCTGGAAAAAGAAAAGGAGAAAATAAAGGGAAACAGGAAAGTTATATAAGCTGCGCTTTTATGAGATGAAGATCGATCTGGGTTTCTGCTCTAATTTCGCTTGTAAGTTTTATCTGTCTAGAGGTTGAAGAAGGAGAAGGGTGGTGGGGTCTCCATTGGAGCAAAGAAGTAGCTGCCGGTAGGTGGCAACGGGTCAAACTCATATAGATAGAGAAAGATGATGGAAGAGTTGGCGAGCTCCTTGATCTAATGTGAAACCAAGTAAATCATCCTAGAAAAAGTATCATATTAAAAAAAAAAAAATGGTTTTGGCCATGGACTAAGGTTCGATTCAAATCACGAGCAACGTTTGAGTTTGGGTTAAATATTTTTTGTACAAAAATGTACAGTTTGGTGAGTTGGAGTACAGTTACTCTCAAAATTATATTGATTTGACTTGATTTACCTTCTCATGATGTGATAGTGGTTTATAAGGTCTAAAATATAAATGGATAAACTTGTTAAATTAAATTGAAACAAGTTTTGTAGAAGTTAGAAAATTTGGGTTATTAAAAAAGAAAAAAAATACATTTAAAAAGGAAAAAAGAGGGATATAAATTTTGTAAATTAAAGAAAAAAAAATTAAAAGGTGGGTGAGCTAGTTAAACTAGGTTGAGGTGGTTGAATGGTGTGAGTACACAGAGACAACCATAAAGTGCGGTTACGTTATCATCGTACGCCGCCGCCGCTTGCCACCACCATCGACGGCCTTTGTTCGTTTGCAGAGCATCACGCAACGAAAATTTTTAATTTTAATTTTTTTTTTTAATTTAACGACCCATGATATTCACAGAAAATAAAATATTGTTAGAATACGTTTCTATTAGGTGCATGATAAATTATTTTATACATTATTATCGTAGAAGTTTTTGGCACCAGTTGTAATGTGAATCTATTGTATTGTCCCGTTGTGCATATAATATACGAATACGATCATCAGTAGATAAACAAACAGATATCTGTAGCATCTCAATGTTTGACCAAGTCAAATTAGATTAATATATATTAGACCACGGCGAAACCATTTCTTTAACAAATTAATAAAGTAATCAACAATTATGGTCTTTTTTAAGGTAACAATTAATCTTTTCCAAAAAGATTGAATTCTAACCCAGTCCGACTGATAGAGCATTTAGAATGATGTAAATCAAAATGAATCATTGACTCAGCAGGCATTGTCAAATGCTAATATACACAAGAAATCTACCCACTTGAATTTAGTCCTAATATTACTGCTGTCGAGTTTCAAACCTTAATCTCTTCTACCAAATACTGTCTACTAAAACATTGAACTAAACCTGTGCGGGGGAGTATGAGATTATTTCACGTGAATCAAATAATACTTCTCCGTATAACAAAGCTTTAATATCTTTTGACACTTTATTTATTTGTTCTTTTGTGTAAAAAAAATGTTATACTTATCAATCCATAAAAAATGTATTATATTAACCCATCTCACGTGATATAGTGTCATTCATATGCAATTTTAGCCAAGTTGATCGAGTTGTTAAATTAGTAATCTCAAAATTTTAAATTCAACTACTCGTGGACGGCCTATTATTAACCATCTCGATTTGAGCTGGTCAGCTATGGACTACTTAAATTGATTTACAACTTTTATAGTTATTTGCTGGCTAAAATCACAGAATTTGCTTTACCAATAACAGACATTTTGATAGTAATTATGAATTTTTCTGTGTCATACAAGAGTGATCGAGTTTTAAAATATAATTAAGCAGAAAAGCAGGGAATCCATATGAGAATCCACGTAGGGTGGGAGTAAGATTAGAATAGAGAAAGCATAATTGTCGCACAAGAAAGCTTATTATATTCTTGGCAGAAATTATTGCGTCTGCGTGGGTGTACAATAAAAGATTAGGTTTATCAACACTACAGTGATATATGTTGATTTGGTGAACATATTTTCTGCCCATCTTTTCACATGATCTTCGACCAAACCTACTCCTCCTTGCTAGCTAGCCTACACCCACACAATATGTTCTCAATTAGGGATGGAATAATAATGTATTTTAAATGAGATTAATTAATTTATTATAATATGTACACTTCTTGAAAAGTTGCATATAAAATTTTTAGTAGTTCAACCACATTGATAGTTAGATATAACCACATTAAAACAAGGTGCCATTGTTAATTAACAAGTAATATCTTTGCTTACACTTTGATTTTTAGATGAAACTAATTAAAACTAATCGTTAATTAACAAGTAATATCTTTGCTATACAATTAACGTGAAAATTTGGAACATATAGGAATTTCCTATTTTAAAATTACTGACTATGTTACAGTGTAGTATATGTTTATAACTATTTTCTCAACCTGCTGAAGCACAAAGAATTAATATTGTCTCTACTAACACTCGAACTCATAACCTCTCATATAGGAGAGCCACTTCGTACCGCTAGAATACTAAGACATTTTTTTTTTTTTTTTTCTTAATCCAACAAAATTGAGACATGGAAGTATACTAACAATTTTTATTCACTATGGTTATTACCATTGGTTGGCCTTTTAAGATTCCTTACGTCATTGTTACATAAGAGCATCAGTAATTGTTGGTGTTTATTTTTGAATTTTTGTCAAAGTTTCGTAGCAAGGGAGATAAAGGGAAAAAAGTTTGGTGGTTCTCATTTGACAATCACCCAATGTTTCTCGTGGAAGCGCATGCTACACATATTCGCCAGGTAGTACTGGTACATGTGAGAAAATATTATGTGTATTGACACTTTATAATCTCAACTTTTATTTAAACACACAAAATCTTAATGTAGACACTTATATAGGGGCCCATCTAACAATCCGCCCCATCGAAGAGTAAAATTGAAGGAGTAGAACTCGTACATATCATGCACAGAAACTGATTTTTTTTATATTGAAAAATCCGATATTAATTTTAAGCAGTTAAACCCTTCTCCATCCCTCTCACCTCCCCTTAAAGGAATAATAAAAAAAAAACACAAAGGGTGATGCTCCAAGAATATTTGTAGAGGTCGCAAATTATGCTGTGGAGTATGGACACGAGTCCAAAACGACGTCGTTTTAAGGGAAAACGCGGCCTTCCAGTTAAAATTTTTTTTGATTTTGTCTCGCTGTTAACGGCGTTATTCATTTGTGGCATTATGAATGTACAGTTATGGAATTATGAACACAGAGCTCTGACATTATGAACTTACAATTATAAACATATAGTGATAAAATTATGAACATAGAGCTCTAAAATTGTGAACTAGAGTTTCGAAAATTATGAATTTACAGTTATTGAATTATGAATATAAAGTTATGCAATTATGAATGTACAGTTATGAAATTATGAACACAGAGCTCTGACATTATGAACTTATAATTATGAACATATAGTAATAAAATTATGAACATATGCTCCTATAACAAAGTGGTCTGAATTTTATTTTTTTTTTAAAAATGGTGGAAGATAACGGTGTCATTAACGGCACCGTTACTGTGTCCATATTGTATGCTGGACACGAGTCCATAACATAACGATTGTGTAGAGGTTTGGTAGGCCCACAGTGTTGCGATCGAACCCAATAAAGCTAGGGCCTATCCGTAAATATTTGGTCCATTTAAGAATCTTCAAATAACGTGAAGCATTATAGGCCCATTAAAGTTTTTGGGCTTAAAATATCGTATGTTGGGCCTTGAAGAAAATGTTGAATAGGCCGAAGACTTATGCACCCTTTTCCATCGTATCCAATTAAACCAACTTTATGTTCAATTTGGGCTCATTTAAGAATCTATGAATAATGTCGAGAAGCGTCTGATCGGCCCAGTTTAAAGTCAATCAATTATATTTTTTTTTAAATTTTTTTTTGAGAATAAGTCAATCAATTGTTATATCCTGGACTTAGAGATCTTGTAAGATGGACCCTATAAGGTTCATTTTAGTATATTACATATTTATTTTTAGTGTATTACATGGTTAATTTAAACATATTGAAAGTTCATTATGTTCATGAATTTTGTTGTCTGATAACTATATTTTGATACTGGTTCATTTTTAGTATGTTGTAATTTTTTTTGGGATTAGGTAATAGGCAATTTTCAAACAAGGTTTAGTACATGTACTCTATATTTTTACTCTTTCACTTTTTCTCCCTAAAGTAGTAAATGATGATAGGTTATTTTTCATCATGTAGGTCTCAAGAAAAATGTCAACATCAAAATTTAGAGTGGTGTAGTAAAAGTTGGTACTAAAAGTAATATTTTCCTTTTAAAATTCAATGTTACATTGGCATGGTCAAACTAAATTGATTGTGCGCTTTTTTTTTCTTTTTTTTTTCTTAAAATAAAACCCAAAATGGTGACCTAATAATAATAATAATAATAATAATAATAATAATAATAATAATAATTATTATTATTATTATTATTAGTTTGTAATAGTATGCAAACCACACAAAAAAATGTAGTTTAACTGTGCTAGAAAAATCATATGTAACGAATTTGATTGATTTAACTAATAAAATATTGATAAAAATTGAACTTGTGACCTTTAAATACGAGAATTATATTGTATCCAATCAGTGACCCATTTCAAGGCAAAGTGTCTTTATTTGATGATGATGGTGAATTGAAGACACTATTTTTTCATTGGACAACTCTTTCCACGTGTATCTACTCTCCATGCCAAGCCTCCTATTCCCATGCATGCAAGCCACAAATATCTCCGACATTACTCACCTTAGTCCTTACCACCTCTCCCACAGTCCCACATTCAATATCGATTTACACAAATTAATTGTATATTTTATGCATTTGAACTAAAATTACTACAGTAATAGTTAATATTTAGATATATATTTTGTATCTTCATAAGGTAACAATTGTGTAAAAGTGAGATTGAATTCAAAATTGTAAGATGTATATATATAGTCTAATTTTGAATTAATAAATTCAATTTCTACTATTTAAGCATGAGCATACGTGTCTGATGTAGTTATATATATATAAACATAACTAGTTGCAATATAAATAGGTAACGTGAATAAACTTCAACTATATATAGCTACGAAATAGACCACATTGCGATATAATTAGAGTTTAATTTCAAATTAAATATCATACCATACGTTAAAACTTATCTTCATTGTCTAATCATATCACTATCAATTTTATTCAATTAATAATGCACCAATTTAACTAGAGCAGTTAATATCATCTGGGTCTTCTGAGTA